CATTACACAAATACACATCACCTGATATGCTTATATCCAATAAGCATTCAGGTTTCTACAGTTTGGAGGTGGAAAATATGCATAAAAATGATGATATGGTCAAAATACTCACCTGCCTAATAATTGTGCACACAGTGTATAGAAGGAATACTTCGGAGTGATTGCCTATCTTGCTGATGCTCCTCCTCTGGCAACTGCCTCCATCCATTTGTTTTCTTACTTTTAGATTTAACGGCAGGATTGGGGAAGAAGGCAGCTATTGTAGCACTTTTCTGTTCACGAAGCAGTATTTTGCAGTACGTTGAATCTATTTTGTTTCCCTGACAAGATGGAACACAAAAGCAGATTTGCGGTCTGGTTTTGAGACCAGGATAGAATTTTGAGATTTGCCAACATACAACACTTCATTTCCTCTGCCAGGACAGTGTGATGGGATGTGGAATACCTTGAGACTTTGAACACTTCCTCTCCTTTTTTCTTTAATGTCAAGGTTATGTGCACATGTGAGACAAGATTAAAGAAAAGCAAGAAGCCATACTAATGTGCAGCATTTCCCCCTGCCTAGGAAAGTAATAAGTTCTGTTGCAATATTGCGACTCCTGGCTATTGTATTTTGCTGCTTTCTTAGGGACACTTGCTACTCACTTTTTCCTGTCAAATATGTTGTATGGTTTGATAGTTCATGTACTTACATTTATAAGCCATGTTTATATCGTTCAGTGTACTTCTGCATTAGGAAGTCTGGTGTCTTTGGGCAGGATATTGTTTCAAAACATGGCATACATCGGGAGGAATAACACCCCAGCAATCAAAAAGAGCTTTTGTCTTTTTTTTTTTTCTTCATAGGAATTACCTCAAGCAGTTTGTGAAGTTTTGGGGTTAGAAAATAGTGCTATGACAACGCCAGATTCAGATGCTGGGGAAGATGAGCCTGTCGATGGGATGAGTTACCTTGCATCAGTGTATCCAAACGTTTCTACGCCTGTTGCTGCTGCCAGCAAAAGAAATGAAAGCGTTCAACAAGCGGCACACGCGGCGTCCACAAACTAACGCTGGTGTCACTGGTTGCATTGTTCAGCAGACACTTTATTACGGCTGTTTTGTTTCAGGCACTTGGGTTGATATTTTGAGTTTGTGTTGATTAAGCTTTAATGAATTGGAAAAGAGATCATGTACTGTAATATTTCTGCATCAAAGCTTTATAACATGACATTATTTTTATAGTTTCTTCTACCAAAATAGCCTTCTGTTTTTCCAGTAACATTCCTTAATACATTTGTATAAAAGTGCTTTTTTTTTTTTTGTCTTTAGTGAAATGGGAATCAGACAATGTGAATGGCATGAAATAAATGGATCTTTTGCTTGTACTTTGAAAATACTTGGGCATGGATAGTTTTTGGATATCATTAAGATGTCACAACTCTTCTATACTACTTCCTAAGTAAAAAGATGATAACCTCCACAACATTGCTTTGTAAATGAAAGGATTGCATTCTTTTTCTGATGTTTACAAAACACTAAGTATTTGTGCAGACTGAATGTAGATTTGGAATGAAAGTTTCCGTTTGTGAAGTCCCTGATCCTGAATTTTGCATAATCCGGGATAGCATTTTTACATTTTCACACTTTTCTTATACATACATACTTATACATTCATATGTATGACTATTAAAGGATAAATCTATTTTTGACTAAACAGCTTTGGTTGCTAATTCAGGCAATTTTGTCCAGATTTTAATACACAGTTTAAGCCTAACTATTTTTGAAAATCATTTTTCTAAATGATAAATGTCTGAATATATTCTCCACTTAATATTCTTAGCAAGGGTTTCTTGCTCATTTAACTAATAATGTTTATCTTTGCTGAATAGTAGTATAACTGTTTAATAGTAATCAACCTAAATTGCCTTTATATTAGACTAAACTTTTAAAAAACAGATAAAAATAAATATGAAATTTTAATTTCCTTCATTTGGTTCTGCCTAAGCTCCCTTTGGTGGCACATCTAGAACTGGAGTTTCCTAAGGTGGACTGATACATGCATATGAGAAAAATATAAGATTATACTATGTGATTATTCGACATTTTTAGTAATGTGGAATATGATAATTTCATGTATTTGTTTCTATTTGAAGACTATTGTATATATTATGAAATAAAATGCAAAGTTTACTTAAAGGTTTTTAATTAAGATATACTTAGGGAAAACCAAGTACGGAGTTCCTAGATTTCAAATGTTTAATGAGATGCACTCAGTTCTTTTATGGCATAACACTTTAGTTATAAAATATAGGAAGTTGATAAATGGGCTAAGTGATGGAGGAAATTAAATTCCTTGTCCTATAGGTACCAGTGGGGTTGTACTCATAAATAAGCTGTTGAATTTTGGTTCTCTGGTGATAAGCTTGAAAACACAAAATGTGATCCTCGTGACATTGTCAGTGTCTAGAAATCCCTTTTTCATAGTGACATTCTAATCCATATTCTGGCAGTAAAAAAGCTGGCATGCTTCTTCCAATATGGTTAAAGGTAGGAGGGTAGCTGTAGGGGCAAGAGGAGAAGGAAATATTAAATCATTCCCAACTACTTAGCAAATGCAATCTATCTCCAAGGGACTTTTTGGAGTACTTCTAGAGAGTGAAGAAATATGCCTGTGGTTTTAGTTGCTCACAAGATAAAGCAAACTCTTGCCTTAATATGAGAGAACTGATGAAATGGCAAGTTATTAACACATATATCAGAAGGTGAGATCTCTCCAATCCTTGGCTTTAATTTGGTTGGGTTACTTATCTTTTATCAGTTAATAACAAAATACCCCATACTGCAAATGGCAAGAATGCAGGACCCAGCATCACTAGGCTTTCATTTCCTGCTTACAGGAAATAATTTTTAGGTTATCTTGCCCTTTTTGTTCTGTCACAGAACTTTGGCTTTTGTATTATCATGTTAATACAACCATCGGGGGGGGGGGTGGTACTCCAGTCTTTTGGCATGTTTCCAAAAAGAAAAAAAGA